TTTGAAACATTTCTACATTCTAAAATAACATGCCTAAAGTCTACCTATAAGCAAAAGTTACTGATACAACAGTTGGAATGATTAATTTCCTTGATTTTGAATATGTCCCAGGCAGCAAGCAGGATCCCAAAAGTTTGAAAACACTTTTCATTAGGAAGCCCCAACAGCTACAGAAACAAATGGTCATATACTGTACTCCTATGATACCTCCTTAAGGGCTGATGATTCTAGTACCTAAAATTGTGTATTCATTCTGTAGTCAGCAGACAGCATTAGCCCTCTTAACATGACAAGCACAAGTAATATACACCTGGTTGTTTCACGACTAGTAGAAATAACAGTATCTCATTTCCTACAGATATGCATCTTCTATGTCAGCCTATCTGCACAGCAACAACTTGCCATCTTTGCCAGTGACGACTGCCATTCCTCATTTCTAAAGCCTTGGCACTGCTCTGCCCTACGTCACCTAACTACAAGGATGTGCTATAGCAGCAGTGAGTTCCACACACTTGCTGATCCTGTAGCATCATTGCATAGCTTCCTTCCTCAGCCACTGATCAACAGCACACTTGAATTCAGTGGTTACAAACTTAAAAGATTGCAAATATCCTGAAAAGAAACCGTAAAGTGAATAAAAAAAAAAAAGGCTAGGGAGGATATAGCAGTATTAATAGATCTCAAGAGCCCTATTAGCAGGCCACGGGATATTATATAAGATCACGTTTAACACTTTGCAAGTTAATTTAATAGATTCTAAGGAAAACAGAATCACAAATGAGAAGGTTTCACTTCCTATCAGTAGGAAGCCTAATCCAGGATATAAAGTTGCAGCAGTTGGCTCCACTTTGATCACACTGTAGCACAGCAAAAGAAAGAACACTGCTTTAAAATGATGCTTTCTCACAGCCACTTTCGTTAGATTTTACCTCAAGAAACTAAGGATGCAATGAAGCCCTTGGTATTTTTTTACAACCTAATTTCCATACGTATGGGCCAAGAAAACGGGTTGCAAACTTCACATATTTTAGATTTTCTAACTTAGGAATGTGGAGTATTAGAACTTCTTTCTTTCTCCAAATGTGCAAGTACATTAATATTGTCTCACATGTCATGCACCACATTGCTTTGTTTGCTGCAGGTTAGCCAAGAACAGATAACAGATAAATCCACACTACTACCTTCCCTCAAGCTATGGCACTAACTTGGATCTCTCTCCTTTCTGTTTTTCACAGAACCAACACAAGCATTGTGTATCTCAAAGTAGCTTAAAATTGTCCACTGATTTCAAAAGATGGGAAAGGGGAGGAAAGAAAGAGACTTATAGACAAAGGGAAAGGGGTAAGTTTCACATTCTTAGAAGATCACAGTACAGATGGTTGGTATTGTCTTGGTTTTTTAGCATCTCATCTCAAGTTTTCACAAGAGACCATATACTAATCCTAGTCTATTTACTGACTTCCAGTCTCAGTAATTAAACTGAATCATATAATTCCCCTCTGATTATTAAGTGGAAATAGTTGTTAATGTTAACAGAACAAATGTTTAATAGCTGATAATACAGCAGAGCCCATTTTAAATTCCCTTTGCAACTTCAGTTGCATATATTATTGTCCTTTTCACCTTTAGATGTTACAGGCAGTTATCATTACAGGTACTACATTACCCATCACACGAGTTTAGGGGAGAGAGAAATTAATTGTAGACTGTCCACTCCTGAGAGAAGGAAAAATTCAACAAGTAAGCTGCTGCCCTTTAAAAAAAATCCCCGTCACCTAATGTTGATCCTTTGAGTCAAAGAGAGCTCCAAAGACCAAGGGGCACAAAAGGAAACAGTGACTATTACCTCTGAAAGATGTCTGCAGAAAATACTGTTTTCATGGCAGCTGAAGAAAGGCATAAAGAGTTGGAAAGAAATTCTCATTGCTAGTGTCCAGACTGTTGAAAACTAAAGCTTGGCATGACTCGCCCATTAATCTGAGCTCCTTACAACATTTAGCATGTATTTAGAGTTTTTAATTTCTAAAGCTTCATATGTGCAAGAGTTAATCAGCATACTGCAAAGGTGAAATAAGGGAAACTGACATCCCATCCCATACTTCAGCATTTTTCATAGCAGAACAGCTCATGAATGTTGACTGCCTTAATTAACAGCCTGTACAAAGACTGTTAATGTGAGGGAATAGCATGCACCTTCAGCAAGCTTGCAGAAGTCATCAAAATGAGGCAAGCGGTTGATGCAGTGAAGAGTTGGGCCAACGTTCTGAAAAAGCTCAGAAAGCTGAAAAGCTCAAGAAACAGACTGACAGAAACCTCTTACAGTTCATTAAAGGCAAATACAAAGTTCTGTACTTGGAGAACTTCAGCTAATACTGCAGACAGATGCTGGAAATACACACACTGTGTGCTCAACTCTCCCAAACGTCCTGGTGGCTCTTTCCTGGATGTGACTCTTGTTTCTCACTGTCCTGTAGTCTGGAGCCCAAAACAGAATGCAGTATTCCAGATACGACCCCACAAGTAAAGAACAGAGAATAATAATCATTTCCCTCAACCTTCCAGTTATTCTTTCTTGTGGCAGCCCAGATTTGCTTTTATTGCTGCAAAGACACCTGCTGACTCATATTCAGCTTTTACATTTGGTCCCCAAGATCCTCTGCAAGAGAGGTTTTAATGCCCATTTACTGGCTCGCGCTCTTTTCCCTCACTCTAAAATCATTTATAAATGACAAAGTTGAACATCAAAGATGGTGGCAGAGGATGTGTAAGGTATTTTCTTGTAGAGAACACTACTTATTTAGTTGACAAATAAAGGAATAAAAAGCCTTTCAGTTCAGGCAGAAGAATATTTCTCCCAGCTCCATTCAAAGAAAGTCTTACAGTCTAAAGCTATGAAATCAATAGCTTCATAACATTCTTACAAACCAAATTTCAGAAGTTCTCCACCTGACAATTATGCTCTTAATCAATAAAGCAATGACTGAAATACAGGTTTTCAGTACTCTGAAGAACAGCCCATTGGTAAAAGGGATAGGAGAAAGACAGGGATATTTTACTTTAGATAATTTTTGGCTGCTGTGCTGTTTTATCTAGTATGCTGAAGTTCTCAAGTTTGTGTTGCCCAATCACTAATAGTCTGAAAACAATAATGAAGTTAGGACATAGCACAAGGAAAAGATGAAAGTCTTCTGCAAAGTTTTGAGCCCACTTCCTTAATTTGGAAATTATCATGATGGAATGGATGCATTTTACTTTTGGAGCAGATAAGATGTGAAAGAGCATTGACATACTAACAGCAGCAGAAAAAGCACACAGGAGTTTGCTCTGTAAGACAATAAAATGAAGTTTAGGGAACGGTGTCAGTGTTGCTATGTTGTTGAATAGTCCTGAACCTAATCTGCCATGTAGAATTGCAGAGCATATTACTTTGAGTAAGATATGCCAATTATGTGGTTACAGTGCTTGTAGGACCCGAGATAACTTTTCTTTATCGTTATGAAGCTTAAAGGAGGTATCCTGCTGCAGCTCAGATCTGCTAGCTTAGAATAAGATCAGATTGGTGCTAGCCCAATGCACAGAAAATGTTCCCAGCAAAAGCAAAAGCAACACTTACAATTAACCCGCTATAAACTCTCAGTGGTTTCAAGGATGATAGCACTTTGCTAAGAAACAACCATAACCCCACAAACCATTCCTCTCTAAATATTTACATTTTCCTTTTCTTCTGGCATATGATTCTCACGCAACTAAATCCAGAGCGGATCTGTTTCAAACAGAGTGGAAGGAAAACTTTATTAGCTACAGAGTCAAGTTCCTGCTAGTCCCTTGAATGATGGAATTGCCCATTCAATCCCTTCAGAGCAAAAAGAACCAGGAACTCAGATCTCTTACTTTCTAGATGAGCGCTTCATCTGCTGAGGTAATGATGAAATCAAAGACAGAACCACTACTGGAGTTCTTCACAAATTTATATGCTGGTGTGCAATCAACTTGTTTTTGTTCTTACTTTTAGAACAGTTTCTAATGCAGATTCAAATCTTCAAATCTGCACAGCAGTATCAGTGTTAATACATAAACCACTGATTACACTTCCTTTTGGCTCCTTGTCTGGTCTGACGACCAACAGAAAAGCTGAACTCTAAGGAAGTGACATCCTACCTCTTGCCCCCTGCCTTCCTCAGTCTTTTTGTAGAGACTTCTAAAAGGTTTCCTCTCAACTCTTGGCTTAAGAGGAGACTTAGTTGGTTTTTTGCCTTTCTACCCAAATTCCTTCCCTTTCATTCTGGAGTATTCCATATATTCTACACCAGTAGCATCAGTCCTTGATTTATTTTGTACAATTGGCATTATAGATCTGTATTGCTGGCTTTCAGTTACTCATTAACTACAAGTAAGAGCAAAGTTACACAGACTTCCAACAGCAGAAGATTTCTCTTAGTTTTGTAAACCAGAACCAAGCTGTAAATAAAAAGCAGCTTCAGAAATAAAATGCAGTGAAAATGAGATGTAAATGGTTTGTCTAACAAGGCTGCAGAGTTAGTTTGATCTCCATCCCATCAATCCTCACTGCTAGACTGGAAAAGTAGCCTGTTTTTTTAAGATGCCCAGAATTACTATAAAACAACTTTTCAGTTTTTAACAATGGGAAAATGAAGCACTTGAAGAATCCACGCCTGCGTTCTGTATTGCTATGGTCAATGTTCTAGCCCACTCCTTTCTAAAGCCAATTTTCATTGGATGTAAAATAACTTTCAGTTAGTAATTATTTCATAACCACATTTTCTCGTAGGAACAGCTTTCTGAAAGTTGAATTTTCAACCAAAAGTGTTAAGAGAGGTAGATGAAGTGAGGAGTTGTACCAATCAGTTACAAAGTTATATTAAACAACCACTATAGAAGATAAACATATACAGGTCCAAAATCTCACTCAGTATGAGAAAACACAACAGACTGGGAAGCATGTATGAAGTAGAATAACTATAAAGGTAAAGAAGACATACCTTCTGCAAAAAGTAACATCATCTTTGTGCTTTTGTTGGCGACCACGTTGTTCAGTAAGGCGACTGCAGTTTGCATCGTATTCCCCAGTATATTGTCTTGGTGCTCCTGAAATTAAAAATAAAAAAAACCTTAGTATTTATTCTGAAAGGTTAGCAAAAGACTACTTCCTTCCAAAAATGTAGCAACACAAAAGCATTACTCTCTTAATCCCTTGAGTTTCAATGTTTAAAATACCAGAAAACTTAAAAATATCTACTTCTTGCAGACAAATATAAGAAACTTAAGCCAAAACTTTTTCCTTTTAATCAGAAGAATTCATAGTTAGGTGTAAAATGTTAGGACTTTTAAAAATAGTATTGAGTCTTACCAGTCTCTAATCTCTATATATTCAGAACCAGGAGCATTTCCCTTTATACAATATTACTTTTAGTAATAGTATTAATTTTACTCTTATCAGTTTCAGCTTGATAACCGATAATAAGTCATCGTCTACTTTTGTCTCTGTTTGTACACTATCATAAGTATAAAATTAATTCCATATACACATCAGGTGTCTATTTCTATATCAAGGTCAGGCTGGATGGGGCTGTGAGCACCCTGATCTGGCTGTAGGTGCCCCTGTTCACTGTAGAGGCATTGGACCAGATGGCCTTTAAGGGTCTCTTCCAACTCAAAAGATTCTACAATTCTATAATTCTTTTGCTGTTGTTGGACTTAACACATTTGCTTGCTTAGTTTGAAAGAAGTGGATAAGGCAGTGAGAACAAAACATTTATTTACCCACGCTAGTCACAGTAATAACTCACATAGCTTCCAAATACGCAAAATAGGACAAGTTTTTACAAACCTGAGTCTAGATATAAATATCAACCTGAATGCATTTCAAATCTCCCCAGGAGGCTCAGGAAATATTGGATCCAATTTTTTCAGACTAAAATCCTAATAGAAGCATACATCCAAAGTGAAAATAACATTAATAGAAAGTCCTATTTCACATATTGCAGCTTTTTCACATGAATCTTCACTTCCAGGCTTCCCTGTCCTATCAAATCTCTCAGTATACTGACATAATACTGACAGAACATGCTGTACCTTCTGTGCCATTTCCTGAAGTAGCCCTTTGAAAAAAAACTCAAATTTGAAGTTGAACAATACAGAAGATAATTGGTCTAAAGTTCAGTGAAGTATCTCTAATACCAAAAGTGACTTCAGTCCTTGAATACAGTCAAACAAACCTCCTCCCTGAAAGTTTCTTCAGAAGATGAATGCCAGTGGCCAGGAACAGTTTATTTTCTGCAGCTCTCTGCTCAGGTATTTATGACCTTCTGTCTCCAATATATTCTTGAAAACAGCAGCAAATTATTCTTCTTTGGGAAAATGTTATTGATCATCTAAGTGCCATAGCTTCTGCAGAATTAGCCTGACTGACTGCCAGCCATCAGCAACCACAAGTAACACGTTTTACTACCCTTCCAAGAATTCACACCAAGTCAACTTACGAATGACATCCAGAGTGATATCTCTGGTTTTATAAGTTGCTTTCTAAATTGGGTCAGGACTAAGCAACAGCACTGTGTTTAGGAAAAGCCACGCTACCCAAATCCCTACCTGTGGCTGTAAGAAATGTTTAAGCAAGAATCTCCTGAGTTTTCTTTCTTTCCCAGTCTGATGAAATTTAGGCTACTGTAAAGTTTGTATTCAGTGCCTCTTCAGAAAGTACTGTTACAATATATAAAGGGCCATGCTATGTGAAAAACAAATGCTTTCCTTTAAACATTTATCAGTCGAAGGATTTTTTTTTACAGGCAGAGACTCGGACATTTGCTTTGAGGGAATTAATTTCTGTGTCTGCACTCCAAAACTAAAATCAAATTCTATTATTTACTGTAAATACCATGGAACATACGTGATAAGGTGTAGTGTATTAAAGGATGAAGAAATATATAAGCATTCCCAGCCTACTATTCAGCTTAAGGCTCTAGGAATTTTCTGCTGCTACTAGAGCTCTTCAAATTGTATCATGAGAAATGATGAGGAAGAGTGCAATTTCCTACCACTAAAAGAATATATCCAGGATCTCTGAAGTTCAATTCACTTTACATAGCACTCAGAGACATCATTAATGACTTCTATATCCCTATGAATGCTTAAAATACAGCCAGGTGTATTTAAGAGCTATGTTGGAAAGCATAGACACCACATATGGAAAATAGAAAAGAGATACCATAAAGTCATAATACTAAAAATAAATTTGAAGTTATTGCTTACAGATAGCTGAAAGGTAAGAAAAATATTTATTGGAAAGAGCAACATGTTCACCTGTTAATCTATCATCACAGTATCTTCTCAAAAAGAACAGTATCTCTCAAAAAGAACATTCGGAATGCAATACCTTTCATAAATGCAACAAAAACAATAATTCAATGACTAGGTGTTACTCAAGATAATTATACACACATACATTGAAAATACAAAAATAATAAAAACAAAATACTCTAGATGTTCCAAAATAAGAGATGACTCATATTTTCATGGCAAGTATTTGCTACCACTTCATATATTTTTGAAGTAAACATCTTCTAGTAGAATTCCCCTTTGAAATATGCAATTATAAAAAAAGTTGGTAGTTGTTTGTGATAGCAATCTTTTGCATTTATCAGGTTACTCGTGTTAAAATGAAGCCAACGTTGCTTTTAGTGAAGATCAATTACACTACACAACCCTCTAGTGAAAGACTAATACTGAAGCTGTTACTTGTACTAAAGTAGATGCAACAAAAACCTACATTGCCCTAAATACATACAGACTAGAATTCAAGATGGAAATGTATATTGTGAAAGCAAAACAGTCACTTACTGAATAAAATAATCTTATAAGAAGTGTACTCAGCTGGAATACCAGAGTTTTAATGTATGTATCACAGATGAACTGTGACAAGACACTGGGTTCCAAGAAGCTACAGGTATTACTTACCTAAATCATCACTGATTGCTGATAGAGTAGATTTTAGAGGTCTATAAAAAAAAATACATAACTTCTTCATAATCTATCAAGGAGCAAAGCTGATCTAATTTGTGTGCACAGCACCACAGACTGGATATTTAATGAACAGTGCACTTGACAGCTTTAATAAAACATAGCATTTGCCAGCAGAGATAATTAGAATTGAAGAAGCGAAATTCTAGTGTTTGGCAACACAGATGAAACAACTTCATTAAAATGTACAGCTTCGGCAAATGAAAGGCAGGAAAGCACTGGACCCTGAAGAATCAGCCTTCTCAAAACTAATTGCTTCAGTGCTTAAAAAGGACAGCTATAAAATATCAAGGGCATAACAAGGAAATACTAGTATAAAAAAAGAACCACAGAAGATAAATCAGGCTTTTCAAATGGGACTGCGCTGTATTTAGGCCATTACACTTTTCATTCTCATTTCGAAGGGTTGCATGTCAACAAAAGACATAAGTTGAAGTATTTTTTAAAGCCAGTTAGGTAAGAGGGTATGAATTAGCAAGGTGGGAGTATGAAACTAAGATATGATAGTCTAAAGCTACTGCTTCTCTTCCTTTTAGGATATTAGGGCAGCTTAGGTAGACTGTGGTATTTTAATTACATTTTAGATAAAAGATCAGATAGCAACTGTGGTAAGAAGTTACCAATTTGTGAGACTTCACATACTTGCCTCCAACTCGTTTAACTAAGAATCTAAAAAAACAAAGGCTCTAAATGCTATTTTTGCAGATATGCTGTAATTAAATGTAAGTGCTCCACAGCAGCACTGTTCATTCAGTGTAATCAGAGTGATTAACTGTACAGGGAATCTCCTTCCCAAGCTTACCTATGAGCTATGAATTGAGTTAGGAAGAAAAGAGGACGTAACAAGGAGGAGGTTTGATTTTTCATACAGGAAATCCATTGAAAAATGAAAATTACAGAAGTGAACCACATCCTAACTGCATTTACTAAAAGATGCAATTCTTACTTGATGGTTGACTGACCACCGTTGATGCTCACGAGGACATCACAAGGAGCACAACTTAATACTGCATTCAACCTAGATTACTATGATACAGCATGTTACTTTATATGCATGAAAGAGAGGATCAAAAACTTTTCTGCATGTAACAGTGGTACCACTCTTTAGGAAACCAGTATTATTAGCATGTAGCCTACAAAGGACTTTTACAGTAGCCTATATACTGTTCTTTAGACACATGACAAAGTTCACTGAGAAACAAATTTAAAGCAGCTATGAACAGACTGAATAGGCCTTAAACATTTTGTGGCTTTTGATGCAAAGACCAGTCAATGCATTATCTGAAAGCATTTAAATACAGATCTCTAATTTTAACGCAGTACTATTTTGCTTATTCATGATAAAAGTCAGAAAAAAAAAAAAAAAACAGTCTAAAATAGACATCTCTCTTGTGATCACGCTTTTCAAAAAATAGTCTTGTTCAAGGGTAGTTTTTACAGAGCTGGTGTTCCTAAATCTTGTCTTATGACATAGGAAAAGCCATAAGGAGCTACTACAAAGCTAGCAAATAATTTCTGGACTAACCATGCTTCTTGGATGGGTCACAACAGTAATACATTCAGTCCACACCTGTAGATGAGAAGTGTTGCAACTTTCAAAGAGAATGCTGCTTAAATACTGAAAAAAATAAAAGCTGTACTCTTAGTCACCAAGTGCTTAAGGAGAGTTGGTTGGGGACAGGGAAATGGGAATCATTTTTAAGAAGTGAAGGACATGGAAGGCCACTGATAAAATCCTAGAGTGTCAAGTATCAGCCAACAGAAAGAGATGGTCATAGATTTTGTTCTCCCACCCATTGCAGCAGGTGATATAAAATTACACAATATTTTTTCAGAAGTACATCAATTTACAAGTATGTTCTCTTACCCAGGTTCAGATTTTCAGACATCTAACAATCTTTTTTTTTCTTTTTCTAATTCTGAAACTCATTTCTTGTATCCTTTTCATCTCCCCAAGTTCCTTGTTATCTTGGAGACAAGCATGCAATTTTTCTGCACTAATGGTCAGAATCTCATGAGGCGTAAGGAGGAAAGGTGATATTTACAACAAACAAAGCTATAAGGGATGT